TATACTTTTCGGAGTATTAAGAAGCAGTTTATACTCGTATACTTTTCGGAGTATTAAGAAGCAGTTTATACTCGTATACTTTTCAGAGTATTAAGAAGCAGTTTATACTCGTATACTTTTCAGAGTATTAAGAAGCAGTTTATACTCGTATACTTTTCAGAGTATTAAGAAGCAGTTTATACTCGTATACTTTTCGGAGTATTAAGAAGCAGTTTATACTCGTATACTTTTCGGAGTATTAAGAAGCAGTTTATACTCGTATACTTTTCGGAGTATTAAGAAGCAGTTTATACTCGTATACTTTTCGGAGTATTAAGAAGCAGTTTATACTCGTATACTTTTCGGAGTATTAAGAAGCAGTTTATACTCGTATACTTTTCGGAGTATTAAGAAGCAGTTTATACTCGTATACTTTTCGGAGTATTAAGAAGCAGTTTATACTCGTATACTTTTCGGAGTATTAAGAAGCAGTTTATACTCGTATACTTTTCAGAGTATTAAGAAGCAGTTTATACTCGTATACTTTTCAGAGTATTAAGAAGCAGTTTATACTCGTATACTTTTCAGAGTATTAAGAAGCAGTTTATACTCGTATACTTTTCGGAGTATTAAGAAGCAGTTTATACTCGTATACTTTTCGGAGTATTAAGAAGCAGTTTATACTCGTATACTTTTCGGAGTATTAAGAAGCAGTTTATACTCGTATACTTTTCGGAGTATTAAGAAGCAGTTTATACTCGTATACTTTTCGGAGTATTAAGAAGCAGTTTATACTCGTATACTTTTCGGAGTATTAAGAAGCAGTTTATACTCGTATACTTTTCGGAGTATTAAGAAGCAGTTTATACTCGTATACTTTTCGGAGTATTAAGAAGCAGTTTATACTCGTATACTTTTCAGAGTATTAAGAAGCAGTTTATACTCGTATACTTTTCAGAGTATTAAGAAGCAGTTTATACTCGTATACTTTTCAGAGTATTAAGAAGCAGTTTATACTCGTATACTTTTCGGAGTATTAAGAAGCAGTTTATACTCGTATACTTTTCGGAGTATTAAGAAGCAGTTTATACTCGTATACTTTTCGGAGTATTAAGAAGCAGTTTATACTCGTATACTTTTCGGAGTATTAAGAAGCAGTTTATACTCGTATACTTTTCGGAGTATTAAGAAGCAGTTTATACTCGTATACTTTTCGGAGTATTAAGAAGCAGTTTATACTCGTATACTTTTCGGAGTATTAAGAAGCAGTTTATACTCGTATACTTTTCGGAGTATTAAGAAGCAGTTTATACTCGTATACTTTTCAGAGTATTAAGAAGCAGTTTATACTCGTATACTTTTCAGAGTATTAAGAAGCAGTTTATACTCGTATACTTTTCAGAGTATTAAGAAGCAGTTTATACTCGTATACTTTTCGGAGTATTAAGAAGCAGTTTATACTCGTATACTTTTCGGAGTATTAAGAAGCAGTTTATACTCGTATACTTTTCGGAGTATTAAGAAGCAGTTTATACTCGTATACTTTTCGGAGTATTAAGAAGCAGTTTATACTCGTATACTTTTCGGAGTATTAAGAAGCAGTTTATACTCGTATACTTTTCGGAGTATTAAGAAGCAGTTTATACTCGTATACTTTTCGGAGTATTAAGAAGCAGTTTATACTCGTATACTTTTCGGAGTATTAAGAAGCAGTTTATACTCGTATACTTTTCAGAGTATTAAGAAGCAGTTTATACTCGTATACTTTTCAGAGTATTAAGAAGCAGTTTATACTCGTATACTTTTCAGAGTATTAAGAAGCAGTTTATACTCGTATACTTTTCGGAGTATTAAGAAGCAGTTTATACTCGTATACTTTTCGGAGTATTAAGAAGCAGTTTATACTCGTATACTTTTCGGAGTATTAAGAAGCAGTTTATACTCGTATACTTTTCGGAGTATTAAGAAGCAGTTTATACTCGTATACTTTTCGGAGTATTAAGAAGCAGTTTATACTCGTATACTTTTCGGAGTATTAAGAAGCAGTTTATACTCGTATACTTTTCGGAGTATTAAGAAGCAGTTTATACTCGTATACTTTTCGGAGTATTAAGAAGCAGTTTATACTCGTATACTTTTCAGAGTATTAAGAAGCAGTTTATACTCGTATACTTTTCAGAGTATTAAGAAGCAGTTTATACTCGTATACTTTTCAGAGTATTAAGAAGCAGTTTATACTCGTATACTTTTCGGAGTATTAAGAAGCAGTTTATACTCGTATACTTTTCGGAGTATTAAGAAGCAGTTTATACTCGTATACTTTTCGGAGTATTAAGAAGCAGTTTATACTCGTATACTTTTCGGAGTATTAAGAAGCAGTTTATACTCGTATACTTTTCGGAGTATTAAGAAGCAGTTTATACTCGTATACTTTTCGGAGTATTAAGAAGCAGTTTATACTCGTATACTTTTCGGAGTATTAAGAAGCAGTTTATACTCGTATACTTTTCGGAGTATTAAGAAGCAGTTTATACTCGTATCCCATCGCTACAGTAAACCGGGCCCCACATGTGATTTTAAAAATTTTAAAATCACATGTGGGGCCCGGTTTACTGTAGCGATAGGAGAGGGGGGTGTGGTTGGTGGTGTGTTAGGGGGTGTGCCCCTAACATTATTTGATGCCCTAATGCAAAAAATCTACGACGAGAAAAAAAAAATCTCAAATCTACTCCTCTAGATAAAGAAGAAGGGTTTTTAATCATGATCATTATTTGATCTGTGATTCCTTTCCAATGGTTATGCACTAAGGCTGATGGATAAAGACACAAGACTCGTAGAATTTCACTTTAACACGAGAACAATGCATGCAAAGGCAACAATTAGTGACAGAACAATGAGATTCTCTCTCCAATTTGTGGCTTGGAACTCTAATTAATGATGTTTGACTAGTTCGCTGTTCTGATTCGAGATAAGTGTTTTGCTTTAATTTGCAGCCGTAAAGAGTTGAGAACCTAGAGCCATTCACAAGCATAAAGAGAGGCTACAACCTATGTTTGTGAGAATAAAGCTATGATGAAGATTCTATCTACTAAAGAGATTCCATGAATGAAGCTCTCGATATCTACAATGTAAACAGAAGCCTTGATTCATTTCTAATCTTAGGAAGTACAGATGGCTACCCTATCGATCATACGAGGAAACCGCCTAGCGTGTACAACCACCATAGCACAAGTGAGTTTAGTTAGGAGTTGTCGGAACGACAAATATCTTTAGATTCAACTTTCTGCTTTTTAGTCTGGCAAGCTCAAAGTAAAGTGAATGATTCATGGTGTGGAAACAACTTCTCAAAGTTAGAAATTTGGTGCTTGAAAAATTTGCCAATGAAGAAAACCTGCACAGATTCATGAATGACTGTTGCACAAATGGTAATGTTCATTTATCCTCTGTGTACAATGCTCTAATTCAGTCTGCTCCTTTAGTGGGCTGGTCTGACACAGTATGGAAGGGGTATCAATACCTAAACACTCTTTTGTTCCATGGTTAGCTTGCCACTCCAGACTTCTTACATTGGACAAGTTATGCCGTATGGGTATTCTGGAGGTTAATCAAAATCAGTGTGTGCTCTGTTCTAGATGCCAACCTAAAACAATTGGACATCTATTCTTTGAGTGTCAGTTTACTGCTGAAATCTAGAATAAAGTGATGGAGTAGATGAACATTACTTGGAGATCATGTGATTGGATGCAAGTTATAAACTGGTATTCTTTAAACTTGAAGGGAAGAGGATTCTTGAAGATAATGAAGATAATGGCACTCTCAACAGCAGTTTACTTGATTTGGCAAGAAAGAAATTTAAAGATATTCCAAGGAAAAGCTAGTGAGCCAAGTATACTATTTCAGGCAATCAAAATCTCCATCTTCTCAAAAATTTTGAATGAAACTATACTTGCTCATATGAAAGATATAATTGAGAGAATGTAAAATTCTTTTGATTCGATTACCAGACATACTGGTATTGTGATGTACTGTTCATTTCACAATTGGTAAATGAATGAAAACATTTCATTCACTAGTAGAAAACTGAGTATTGGCGACGGGGAAATCCGTCGCCAATGCAGCAAAATCCGTCACCAATACACTTTCACGACGGGCGGAGTCCGTCACCAATAATCCTGTCGCCAATAAACATTGGCGACGGGGAAATCCGTCGCCAATGTTCATTGGCGACGGAAAACATTGGCGACGGGCTATAGCTCGTCGCCAATGTACATTGGCGACGGGAATACATCCGTCGCCAATGTACATTGGCGACGAGTTGTAACCCGTCGCCAATGTACATTGGCGACGGGAATACATCCGTCGCCAATGTACATTGGCGACGAGTTGTAACCCGTCGCCAATGTACATTGGCGACGGGAATACATCCGTCGCCAATGTACATTGGCGACGGGCAATAACCCATCGCCAATGTTTTCTGTCGCCAATACCTATCCGTCGTCAATGATCATTGGCGACGGATTTCCCCGTCGCCAATGTTTATTGGCGACAGGATTATTGGTGACGGACTCCACCCCGTCGCGAAAGTGTATTGGTGACGGATTTGTCCCTGTCGCCAATGTACATTGGCGGCGGGTTTGTCCCCGTTGCCAATGTACATTGGCGACGAAAAATGCCTGTCGCCAATGTACATTGGCGACAGGTGTATTCCCGTCGCCAATATACATTGGCGACGAAAAATGCCCGTCGCCAATGTACATAATCAGGTAAAAAAAATTATTTCTGCATTGCAAAGCCCCCCAATCGGGAATGCGTACCTACTACCATTATTCACAATATATTAAATAATACTCATAATATCACATTTATCGATTCGCAGCCAACAATATTCACGTTCACCGATTCACATTCAACAATATTCACATTCACATCCAACAATACTAACATTTACATTCATCGATTCACATCCAACAATATTAACATTTAACAATTCACATATATACATAATCAGGAAGTCATAATATGTTTAACACAATCCAAAAGTCTACATAATCAGGAGGTCATAATATGTTTAACACAATCCAAAAGTCCACAAAAGTTACCAAAAAGTCTAACACATCACTCACTCATCATAGTCGTGGTCCCTATCGTCGTGATCCCTATCATCGGTGGCGGCTGCATCAGAATGCCGTATCGTACTGCTGCTTCCTACGACGGTACCTCCTCTAGCCTAAAAAGAATGTAAATCAATATGAGAATATATTCCAAAATACTCATAATAAATACATATATATAATATGACATATATACCTCTCCACCACTTGCAGCTGCATGCTCATCAAATGCCAACACCATAATATCCGCGTATATAGACTGCGGAAGCAAGTCCTTTACGGGTTGAGAATCGATGAGTCGCTGAACGACATCCCAAGTCGTTTGTGCACCACTTAACTCGTGCTTAATAGTGGGAAGAAAACTTAAAGCCAATGGAATTTCAACATTCTTCATCAAGTATTTTCCAATCTTACCCACGACATATGACGTGTCACCGTGTCGCGTCGATGTCACAGATTGGCTGCTAGGCTTATTGGTGGTGGTGAGTGTCTTAACTCTAGTACTTGACAGAGGCACTCTTCCTTTCTTTCTTGAGTGTAAACCGTAAGCTCCGTCGACAACTTCCATCCACTCGTCTCTGGTCATGCGGTTAGGCTCTACAGGAGTGTCCTCTGTACTTCGAGACTGCGTGACACGGGTGAAGACATCGTTTTGAGAAGCTTCCAGCGCCGCCTGCATATCATATATCATAAAAATTAGAAACTTTGATGAAAAATCATTAAGTATATACAAATCTAAAATTAATCTTATACTTACGTTCAATTCATTAATTTTCTCCACCTTTTTGTCATTTCCCTCTACATTTTCATAGCCCTGGGGTGGTGTATAAGCTCTTTTAGCCAGAAGAGTCGGGGGCATAGTCAAAGCGTCCTGTGATATATTAAATTCCAAATTAAATGTA